CCCAGGACCCATAGATCCGAGTGAGGTTGTCCAAAGTCGCTGGCCCCTGGCCTTCTCGCGCAACTCGCGCGGCCTGATCGAGCTCCTCTCGAAGCCTGCCAAAATCAATGGACGGCGCTTGAGCGGGGCCGATCGCCCGATCCTGGCCGATCCTCGGCCGTCGGAAATCCATGGCTCGCGAAGACGCGAGTTGGGGGAAGAGGGGCAACCGCGCAGGGGAATGAGGCGCGAGGTCAGAGTCCCCGGTCACCCCGACCGCCTTGACAGCCTTACTAAGGCCGCGGCTCGCCAGGAAGTATACGATTAACCGCGCCCCCCCCGTGGTCGAGCACGTGCCCGCCGCATCGGGAACAAGGAGTTGTCCGTGGGCGACAACTAAAAAAAACCGAGTCCCGGACGAGGGGGGGCTCCACGTTGAAGCCCCCGCCCGCGAGCCGTGGCAATCCCGACGCCGACGCGAACTCGCCCGCGGATCTAAAACATCCAAGTACACACCTGACCACCCACTGCCGCGCAAAATGTAGATGCTGGCGACGCACACTGCAGAGCCTCCTGGGACTTGGGCGACTCCCCCGACGGCTCGGCCGCTGAAGAGATCGCGTTCTCGCAGCGGGTGAAGGCCCAGAAAGGCCTTGACATGAATCGCAGGCCCTCCAAAATCTCCCCGGAGCCTTCCCATCGGCCTTTCCGACCCTGCCAGCTGCGATGCTAAAGTTGCGACGGGGCGACAGGTGCGGCAGCTGCTGGACCGCCCGGCGCGATCTCCGCAGCCCGCTCTCGCGCAGATGGGCCCGCCGCCGCTGCGGCTGCTGGCTCAGACGCGCCTGAAGCGCCCTTGGAATAGACAGGGGCAGGGTCGGGGGCCTGCGGGTGAGACTCGGTGTTCTCTTTATCCTCAGGGTCACCCTCAGTGCGTCTACGTTGAGTCTGAAACCTGCTAAGAAGTGCCTTGTGCTCCTCCTTGGCCTTCGCTGCGGCCTCGAGTGCTTGCTTGAAAAGAATGGAGCTGGCCTCCTGGAGGCCCTTCTTGAGCACCGTGACGAGTTTGTCTGCATGCTCCTTTTCCCCCGTCGAAAGAACGATGCCACCCTCCTCCGCCTCGTCGAGAAGATCCCCCAACGTGATAGGGATTTCGTCGATGGTACCAGTGAGAACAGACAGAACGGCCCACGGGGAAGATTCGGCTGGACTTGGCTCATCTGAAGACTTTACCTGTGCGTGTATTTGATTGACCAACTGCTTATGGAGATCCTCGGCTTGTTGACATCACACTGAAGGCGCCCAACTCTGGCTCGCTCTTCTTCCACTGCTGCCTGCATCTCGTCGAACGTCGAGACTGCCTTAGCCAATGTGTCCTCTGACGCCCGCAGAAATTTGAACGCCTTTTCGATATGCTGCTGAATGGGCTGCTGTCTGTTCGCGGCACTCTTGCTGGCGAGGGCTCTCTGATAGTTGTCGGCGGACTTCGTGTTACCCGACCTCTCGGGCATGCTGATGAAGGACTCGATCTCGGACTCCGCCAGGTCTTTGATGTCAGCCTGGGTGACCTGACCAGGAGGCTGAAGACCAGGGAAAGCAGGACGATGCACACCACCGGCATCTTGAAATGCCTGTGGGTTGGCCCACACCCCTTGCGGAAGTCGAACTTGCTGCCCTGGGTCCGCACGCGGGGCTCCACAGTGGCGACACGTCGTGGAGTTGGCCGCGTTCTTGCTGCACGAGCACTGGGAGTATCGCCAACGGCTGTGCCGCGGGAAAAAGTGGGGCCCGTGACCCCCTTGTCCGAAGCCGCCTTAGAGTTGACCTGGAGGTAGCGAGACGCGAGCGAAGAGCGAGCTTGCACACATCCCTCCTGACCCCTGCTGGAAACCGTTCCATCCATTGCCTCCTTTCCCAGAGGCCAAGGGGCACCTGGGAACGCTATGGCTCGGTGATGATTGCGGGATGTCTCCACCAGCGCATAGCTCAGTGGAAGACGGGACTGCTCCAACAGGAGCTCACAAAGCAAGACGAATCCTCGTCTGACCACGCAGAGGAGGGGCGTAGAAAGTGGGGGCCGCAAATCCCCCTTGCCAGTGAGGTCAGGTCCTGAGCAGAAGCGCTACGGACTTGAGCCACAATGGCTACGGAGGGAGGAGGAAGAGGAGGAGGAGGAAAAGGGGGATATCCAATCCTGTCCTATCTGTCCTCTTCTCTACACGTCGTCCTCTCTTCACGACCTGTGTTCTCGCACGCGTACACACTCATGTGTACACACGTGTTGCCTGTACCCACCGGTGCGCGTTTGGTGCGAATGGAGATGACGGAGGAGGTTGGGGGCTAGTGATTCATGCAAAGGTGGGGGGGACTTCGCGCCACTGCTGAAGGCCGCACGGGACCGACCGAGGGCCAATTGCAGTGCCCACAACATGGGCCCTTCTTATCGGGACTCGGGGAAGTGTATGTGTGAATGTGTGTGTGAGGGGGTGAGGTATCCTTGCACGGTTCTATCTCTACCTCCGCTTGTTGACTCCAGCGATTTTTCCATCAACCAATTTATATCACGATTACATTGGCACTTTACCGCGCACTCGCATATGACGAAGGCCACACTTGCTTCTCTCTGTGTTCCCTTTTTTGTATAAGAGCTCAAGTGTCGGTCATGACGCCACAATTTTCCAGCTAATGTCGGTCTAACGTGAAAACGAGGAGGGATCGAGAAAAGGAGGGGGTGGAAGGAGGGGGGGAGGGGTGCGGGGTAGCGGGAGGGGAGGCATGAGGGAGGGGAGGATTTCGGCCCTGGGCTTCGCTCTGGGGCCTCGACAGGGACGCCCCGGGGCGAGGATGATGATGATGATGATGATGATAATGATGATGATGATGATGATGATGATGATGATGATGATGATGATGACGATGACGATGACGATGACGATGACGATAACGATGACGATGACGATGACGATGACGATGACGATGACGATGACGATGATGATGATGATGATGATGATGATGATGATGATGATGATGATGATGATGATGATGATGATGATCAGGAGTAGGAGGAGGAGGAGGAGGAGGAGGAGGAGGAGGAGGAGGAGGAGGAGGGGAAGATCCGGAAAAAAGGAGGGGGTGGGGGGACGGGGGGAGGATCTTGGCCCTGGGCTCCGCTCTGAAGCCTCGACTGAGACGCCACGAGGAGGAGGGCGATATCAGGAATTGGAGGGGGGGAGGATCTTGGCCCTGGGCTCCGCTCGGGAGCCTCGACAAGGACGGCTCAAGGCGAGGAGGAGGGCGGGAGGGGAGGCGGAATGGGCATTGATTTTGGGCTCCGCTCGGGGTCCTCAGCAAGGGCGCCCCGAGACAAAGAAGAAAACGGGAAGAGTGACGAACCGTGCGAACGGCTGCGAGCACCCCAGTCCCGTGCCGCGGCGGCCTTGCACCAATTGCGGGCGCGACAGGGAAGGGAGGAGGAGGAGGAGGAGGAGGAGGAGGAGGAGGAGGAGGAGGAGGAGGAGGAACTGAACTGAACTGAAGATCAAGGCTCATCGTCAACCTACCTGGAGCATGGGAAAGAACAAAGAACTCACTCCCGAAAGCAAGGGAACAGCCGTCCCTCGGGGACGGCCTCGCGAAGAGCGCGTTGCAAGCGCGCCGCCTCCCGCCGAGCCTGTATCTGCGCCAGCTCGGGGGTGAGGGCGGGGAGGAGGAGGAGGAGGAGGAGGAGGAGGAGGAGGAGGCGAGGGAGCAGGGGCATAAGTCCCCAATTCCAACCCCTTGGAGGCCGCTGCCGCCTCCGTTTCCTGCAAGATGGCCTCCTCCGAGTGCTCTTTACACGGCTCAGGGCGGATCCATGCCCTTAAGAGATTGAGGAGGAGGAGGAGGAGTAGGAGGAGGTGGAGGAGGAGGAGAAGGAGGAAGAGGAGGAGAAGGAGCAGGAAGTGGAGGAAGCAGAGGACACGGAGGCGGTGGCGCCGCCGAGAAAGTCGCCGATGCGAACCACCATTATCCTCGTCCTCATCTGCCTCCTCCTCCTCCTCCTCCTCCTCCTCCTCCTCCTCCTCCTCGTCGCTGCACCCGGGGAACCAATCCCCTCCGTTGTCAACAACATCACCAATGATCGCCAACGTCATCGCTCGCCTCCTCCTCCTCCTCCTCCTCCTCCTCCTCCTCCTCCTCCTCCTCCTCCTCTCCCTCCTCCTCCTCCTCCTCCTCCTCCTCCTCCTCTTGCTCCTCCTCCTCCTCCTTCTCCCCCTCATGCTCCACACTCCTAGGTCACCTAGCTTCGCGCCCTCGCCCCCCCGCGCCGCCCCGTTGGAGAAGGGTCCCCCCTCTGGCCCAGACCGCGACACGCGAAGTGCGATTATGTTCACGCCCCTTGCGGGTGACCTAAGAGTACTCCAACGTGCCCTGGAAAAAAAAGAAGGGAACTGAATGCTTGCTCGCCGGAGTCGGGCCCCCAGGGCTTCGCGGATCCCGGGGCCGTCAGAACACGTCTCAGGACCATGGGTTCTAGGACCAATGTTCCTCAGGACCCCTGTCCTTCATGGTGAAGATGAGGAGGGGGTCAGGAAATCCACAGGAATCCCAAGACACGTCTGAAGGTCTTCGTGTGTGTTCTGCGTGTCTCTGGATTCCTTCTGGAGGTGCTCGGAAGGGGGACGGGATAGACGGCGGAAGGAGGAGGGAGACAACGAGGGGAAAGGAAGGGGGAAAGTAAGAACAATCAGCATGTAATCAGGGAAATGGGTCGTATCGGAGTGCGCATGGGATCGGCCCGCATCGGCACGGAGTCGAACTCGAATTGAATCGGCCGCGCCACGATGCACAACAGCACCGTGCAAGCATTGGGCCGCATCGGACCTTACGTAGCGATGACCAAAATCGAATGGGATCGGGACAGACTTGATACATACCTAACAGGACCCACCGGATCGGATTAGACCCTGTAGGGGGGAGCAAAACCACAAGCAACGCGACAGCGCGACAGCGGAGTGGGCCCTCTCCCTGGGCTGACCGGCCTGGGTGCAAAGCCTCAGGTTGTTCTTCAGGGACTGCACCTGCCTCTTAAGGCTCACCGCGCTCTGCGTCTGCGCGGCGAGGCGGCGAGTCGCGCTTCTTTTTTGTTATGCGGCGGCAGGACACAAACAACCAAACATATCTCCTCGTGAGAGGGTGGCGACGGCGAGGGCGCACAGGCGCACGAGGATGCGCAGGCGGACGAGGCGTCTCTGCGGCGAGTTGTGCCCGTTGATCTTTGACGCAATCTGTTGCTCGTGGGGGAGCCGCGATTGCCCTCCCGAAAAAAGTCAGAGGAAACGCTAAATTCAGACCGAAACCATTTCCCCCCAATTTTTTGGGGACGGCACGGGGGATGGGAACCTCACCCGACCCCTCCCCCAGACCGCCGCAAACACCCCCCACCTGGGCGACCCCCATCGCCTTAAGGTAAACATCAACACCTGTCCCGCTCATTCTTTCAACATCCCCCCCTAGACCGTTTCCTCATTCTCACCTTCAACCCCTCCGCACTGTCTTGACTGGTTGGCATTCCGGGCCGGCCCTAATTGCCAAACTCGCTCCTCATGGGGAACGACGTGAACGCTTGACAATATGTCGGATACCGTTGTTTTAAAACATACGGCGGGTCACGACAGAAACTGTTCATACGGTCGGACCTCGGCCAGAAGAACATCCTTCAAGAACATGAGACCCTCCGTCGGCCAACACAACAAGAACATCCAAGGGTACCCTCCCCAAGTTGCACTATACTATCCAACAAACACGAAGAACACCAGGGAACCCGCCCGGAACCGACCTTACCCTTATACCTCGGTCCAACTGTACAAACTCATCCTTTCAAACGCGAAATCCCTATCAGCCCTTTAGGGCGTGAGGGGCTTAGCTAGTATGGTTCCAATCTTCCTTCGTCCTCTTCGGGGAGGGGTGTATCACTGTTCCCTAATGAGAAACACCCCCCCCCACAGGCGACTGGCAGCCAACCAGGACCAATGAGGGCACCCTCTCCCAACACCCCTATAAAATTAGCCTGGCGAAGGACCCAACCATATGCAGTTGTGAGTAATGCTGGTGTGAGTACCGTTTTCGGTGGATCTCCCTATGGGGCCACGAACCGTTTGAGGGGTGTGCCGAAATGGGTGTGGGGGCGGCATGCGAACGTTGCCACTGGGGCCTTCGGTGGAGCTCCTTATGGGGCCACGAAACGTGTGAGGGGTGCACCGAAGTTGGTGTGGGGGCGGCATGCGAACGCAGCCACTGGGGCCTTCGGTGGAGCTCCCTGTGGGGCCACGAAACGTGTGAGGGGTGTGCCGAAATTGGTGTGGGGGCGGCATGCGAACGCAGCCACTGGGGCCTTCGGTGGAGCTCCCTATGGTGCCACGAAACGTGTGAGGGGTGTGCCGAAATGGGTGTGGGGGCGCATGCGAACCCAGTCACTGGGGCCTTCATGGAAATCCCCATGGGGCCACGAAACGTGTGAGGGATGTGCCGAAATGGGTGTTGGGGAGGCATACGAACCAGGCCACTGGGGCCTTCGGTGGAGCTCCCTATGGGGCCACGAAACGTGTGAGGGGTGTGCCGAAATGGGTGGTGGGGAGGCATGCGGACCCTGCCACTGGGGCCTTCGGTGGAGCTCCCTATGGGGCCACGAAACGTGTGAGGGGTGTGCCGAAATGGGTGGTGGGGAGGCATGCGGACCCTGCCACTGGGGCCTTCGGTGGAGCTCCCTATGGGGCCACGAAACGTGTGAGGGGTGTGCCGAAATGGGTGGTGGGGAGGCATGCGGACCCTGCCACTGGGGCCTTCGGTGGAGCTCCCTATGGGGCCACGAAACGTGTGAGGGGTGTGCCGAAATGGGTGGTGGGGAGGCATGCGAACCTGCCACTGGGGCCTTCGGTGGAGCTCCCTATGGGGCCACGAACGTGTGAGGGGTGTGCCGAAATGGGTGGTGGGGAGGCATGCCATGGAGTGGGGCCCGAAATGGGTGGTGGGGATGCGGACCCTGCCACTGGGGCCTTCGGTGGAGCTCCCTGGGGCCACGAACGTGTAAGGGGTGTGAAAATCGCCGAAATGGGGTGGGGAGGCATGCGACCCTGCCACTGGGGCCTTCGGTGGAGCTCCCTATGGGGCCACGAAACGTGTGAGGGGTGTGCCGAAATGGGTGGTGGAGAGGCATGCGGACCCTGCCACTGGGGCCTTCGGTGGAGCTCCCTATGGGGCCACGAAACGTGTGAGGGGTGTGCCGAAATGGGTGGTGGGGAGGCATGCGGACCCTGCCACTGGGGCCTTCGGTGGAACTCCCTATGGGGCCACGAAACGTGTGAGGGGTGTGCCGAAATCGGTGGTGATGATGATGATGATGATGATGATGATGATGATGATGATGATGATGATGATGGTGGTGATGATGATGATGGGAGGAGGGAGGGGGGGGAGGAGGAGGTGAGGAACGCGGGGCGCCGTCTCTTCAAAACGAGGACCCAACACCACAGGATGGTTGGGACAAAAACAATGTGACGTCCACTTTGGTACAACATTTTGGATCATGATCGGGTGGAGCTCGAGCATATTGTATTGCTTGTTGGCAAGAGCGGCGGGAGTGCCCGCGTATTGCCTGCTGCGAGCAGGGCCAGACTCAGTCAACAAAAACAATACAACATGCACTTGACAACAAAAGTTGATCATGCGCGGGCGCCCCGCGATCACTGTGCATTGGTTTTGACTGGGACGGCGGAGGTGCTGTCAGATTGCCTGCTATGTGCAGGCCCACCAGACGCTATGATGGCCACCATGCTGTGATCGCGCCTTGGTTTTCAACAAGGGTGGGGGCCGACACGTTTTCCGATGTATGTTGCCACGTGCACAGGCGCAGCTCGCACACTCTGCGCGTGCCCCGAAAGTGGCACCTGGCGCGGTTGGAGCATGCGGCACACATGGCGTGATCACGTGGCACAACTGGCGCACCAGGCGTGCCCACCACGCTTGGGCCACAGAGGTGTTTCGTGCGCCTGGCACGCCTGCCACGCCTGGCGCACCTCGCTGCATCGTTATGCACATGGGGTCTGTGTTGGTTCCCGTTGGCTGTCCATCCAAAAACTAAAGCTGGAAACGCCGCGGCTCGAGTGCAACTTATGCATTGGGATGGCGGGCGTGGGTGAGCGAGACGCCTTGCGGGCACGGGGGTGTCTTGACCCCTCTCCATACCCCCTCCCCCTGGACCTGCAGGGGGGGGGGGGGGGGTCGCGGGCCGCGGGTCGCTTGAGAGTCCAAGATGGCGTCGGCGAGAAGGCCCAACTTATTGATCGCACCAAGGTTTGGGCAACACGTTGGCCTCCTGGGGGAGCCACCCCCATTGATCGATCGCCCCCAAGAGGCCCCTAAGAAGGCCCAGAAGTTCCCAACAAACCCCCAATATGCCCACCAGAGGCACCCAAGACCCTGCAAGAAGCCTCGGCGAAATGGACATCACCACTGGGATTACAATGGCGTTGACAACATGTTCTCCTCCGGGGGGGGACGCTGGCTAATGCGCCCCACCTCCTTTGATCGACCAATTTGAAGTTGGTCGGGAGGCCGAACCAGATGCTTCGCCAAAGGCGAAGCCCGTACCCAACTCTGTTTTATCGTAGTAACGATAGTCCCAAGAGCAGGAGGGAATCGCGGGAGCGACGAGCCATATCAAGCGAAGAAATGTTCGGCCTCGATGGCAAATAGCGTGCCTCGCGGCGAAGCGCACTCAAATATTGGCGGCCGGCCGCTTGGACACACAACGGCCGCGGACAAACGCTCGCTGCCTCTCGCCTTTGCCCAGCCTCCTCTAGAGTCGGGGGGGGGGGGGGGGGATGAAGCGCGCGCCCGCCGCCACCTATCCAGCAAAACACTATTGCACACAAGGTGGACAGCAGCAGGCGGGCTCAAAAAAGGCAGGTTGACTCGCATGCAGGTTTCCTTGCAGGCAAGTTACCTCGCAGGCAGGTTACCCCTCACATAATTACTTCTCAGCTGGCGCAGATGATCTCGTCTGGCCAGCCCTGTAAGGGGCGTGTCGTTTCAGATAGTGTTTGAAGAATTGCACGCCTCCCATGACTTGTAGGAGCATGTCCCTGTCGGTGCTCCCTTTGGTGTGGCCATCCGAAGTCATATCGCGACTGTCACACCACTGCACACAATGCGCGACACCTCGCTCCACCATTTGTCGCATCCAACTGATGCGTCCCACAAGTGCACATTCAGTCGGCTTCTTCAGGTCTTTGCTTGACATGAACTTGAAGACAGATTCTGCATCAGTGGTGAAAAAATGACCATAGTGATCGGGCCGCCTATCTCGAGTATATCATTCAGTTGAGCGGGCGTCGGCGGCCCTGCGTGGAGTTCGCGCAGAGTGACGATCGTGGGGTAGCAGTCCTCCAAGTTGCGGGCAGCTGCATGTGTTTCCGCTGAGTAGCTCGAGCGGACCTGCAAGCGATGAGACTCGCGGTGCGCGTCGGCAAGATGGACGACCGCCTGGCCAGCATGCGTGTGTCCACGCCATAGCAGGCTTGCCCAACAAATACCGCGGCCTTTGACTTTGACTTCGTCGTCGGCATCTCCGCTCAGGCGCCGGTAGCTGGAGTCGCTGTGTCGGTCGACCTCGCCCGCTGGTGTCATCGTTCGAGAGGCGATCTGGCGATCTTCTTAGGGCAGGCCAGCGAATTCCTCGTCATCGCGCTCAGTCGTCGCACTTTCTTGTCGGTCGGTTCTAGGACACGCTGCAGTTGCACAACGTATACCATGAACCACGCTTGTGCGATCAGGGCGCAAGCCAATGGACTTCCGAGGCTGATCATCATGCCCGCGACCATTCTCGATGCCATGGCGCCCGCATCTGCGCCCGTGAGTTCGCGATGGAGGATGGGGCGAAGCTGTTTCGTGTATTCAACTTGATCATGGAGTAACATTGCCGTCGCTGTCCTGTATTGAATGTGTACATATATACATATATATATATGCATACATATATATATATATATATATATATATATATATGTATACAGATATATAGCCCGCCCCCACTCCCGCGGGCAATCTCTTGAACGGCTCAGCTCGAGGGCGACGGAGTGGCGCCAGCCAAGACGATCGGCGCAAGCCTCATCGATGAAAACCTTCTTTACGAGCAGAGCCCATCTGCGTGGGTCGGAGCCAGGCAGACGCCCAAGGCTCGCATGGGCCGGGCGTCGACACACGGGCGAACGGGCAGAAACGGCGATCGGACCAGCAAAACTCCAGAAGAAAGGCAATCAAAGGCACGGAAAATGCATTTGACAGGGCGGCGCGCGGGCGGGCGCGCTGCGAGCCACAATGCCGACGGCGCAGCGATGGCAAGTGCGCGGCCCCTCTCGCGCTTTGCCTACGCAAATTGTTGTCAAAACCACGCGGCCCGTCTCCACTCCCGCGGGCCATCTCTTGAGCGGCTCAGCTCGAGGGCGACGGAGCGGCGGCAGCCAAGACGACCGGCGCAAGCCTGATCGATGCAAACCTTCTTTACAAGCAGAGCCTATCTGCGCGGGTCGGAGCCAAGCAGACGCTCGAGGCCCGCATGGGCTGGGCGTCGACATGCGGGCGAACGGACAGAAACAGCGATCGGACCAGCAAAAATCCCAGATCCCGACGGAAAGAACTGGCCGCCAGGCCGTCAAATAATAGAACTCCGACGCAGGAGATTATCTAATAGCAATGTCAAGTAAATGCTTGTGTGACTGGATTTGCATAGTGTTCAATGAGCTTAGCTATATCACGGCTGAAAGAGGGCGGGTGCGCTGCAGCCTGCGCGGCACGGTGGACACCGTTGGCGTGGCTGGTGAAAATAACATGGGGCCTCCTCCACCGCGAACAGATCCCGCGCCGCCCGACACACCGCCGTTGCAGCCGAGAGAGGTCGACCGCACCCCGCGCCGCCACAGTCGTACGCTTGCGCCAAGGGGCGCCGCACTGGCAGCAGTCCAAGGTACGCAACTGGCAGGTGGGATGCTGAAGCAGGTGTCGGAGCCGTCGCGCCTTCCAAATCTGCGAACCAGCAGGGTTCTCAAGAAACGCAGGGATGCTCAATTCTCAACTTAGCACTATCACGTCACAAGATAAATTGAAAGTCCTGTTCGCGGTGCGGACCTTGGCGGCTTCGTGGGGTAGCAGATCTGCTCGCCCCATCGGCCGCGCACGAGTACGCAGCGGCTGTCTCAACGCCTGAGTCCACGTAGTGCAAGGGGTGCCAAGCCACACGGCGCCTGCAACTCGGCCCGCCAACCATCCCTTCAGGACCGAGCGGAACTCGCGGCACAGGTGATCCCCCGCTGGCCCCTGGCAAAGGTCCAGGTCCAGCGCGGGGGGCCCCGCGCCTCTTCAGCGCCTCGGTCAGGTGCGCCGAGTCAGCGAACAGCTCCAGCGCGACTCAGCGCATCCCCTGTGAGCGGAGGGCCTGCTTCAGGCGGCGCTTCAGATGCCGGCTGCAGTGGCCGCCTTCGGCGGTGCCGACCTCGGGGCCAGGCTCGCGCAGCGGCCCATGGGCAGCGCCCGTAGCAGCCTTGCTCAGCGGCGGGCGTCGCTGCTGGACCCGTCGCCCACTCGCAATGGGCGTTGGCCCGAGGGCTGGCATCACCGCCGCAGGCACATGGCCGCACAGGTTCAAGCCGCTGAACCCGTGCTCGAGCAGCGGACCGAAGTTCGTCTCGACGAGGGCCCCGAACGCAAACACCTCCGCGCTGATCCGCGCCATCTCGCCCAGTGGCGAGCCCTCCTTGCCGCATCGCCGCATGGGCGACGCCACTGCCCAACGTCCCCGCCGCTGCACCTCGGTGGGGCTGCGGCGGCCCGTCAGGAGGTCGTCCGAGGCCCCACCGCGGCGGAGGCTGTAGAGGTGGGGCCTCGGCGACGATAACTGCAAGGCCCGGCGAGCTGCTCTGACCTGCAGGGTGATTGCCTCGAGCGGGAAACTCCACGGGCTGGCCCCTGGCGTCGTCGCGAGGCTCAAGGCATCCAGGATCGGCCACAGCGGTGCCTGGTCGATCGCGACGCTGTCGTCGCAATGCCCAGTCTCCCCTGCCACCCCGCGCTCCAGCGGATGCATCAACAATGCCTTGCAGGTGCAGCCCGGGCCCGCGGCAGGAGCGGGCGGCACCGGGCACTCGCGCGTCAGGCTCTGCGCCTCGGCTGGCCTCAAGTAGGCTGCGAACGCCAGCGCCGCCCAGCAGGCCAACCCCAGCTGCCCGTGGCTGATGGGCCAACCCGCAATCGCGTGCACCGCAGATCGCGGCAGGGGCAGGCGAGTCTTGCCAGGGGCGCGGCGCTTCCACGCGGCCGAGGCCCTCGAGGCCCGGGGGGGCACGGACACCGTCTGCCTGAAGAGGGACGGGGTGACGCGATGGCCGCCCGCGTCTGACTCCCGATGTTGCAGGCCGTGCCCATCAAGAAGTGGTCCGAGAAGTAGTTGGACAGCACCGCGTCGAGCTCCTCGTACGTTCTCCAGTCCTGGCGGCGCAGGCGGCACCACTATGCAAAGTTGCTCAGCATCTGGAGGTAGCTGACCTCGGTGTTCGAGCGTATGGCCAACGTCTCCAGCAGAGTCAGGGCGGCGAGCAGCGGTCGCGACCCCCTCGCCTCCTGGACCGCCTTCCGACGCTGGGCTGCGGCAGCCCCCGCGCTCGGCACACGCGATCTGCGGGCCGCGTCGGCGCTCGCGGGGCCCTCGGCGCCCGACGCATGGCCGCGCAGCGCGCGCTGGCCGCCGAACCAGCCACGTCGCCCGCGGCTGACTGCGTCTGACGCGTTCCGCTCTGAGGCCACCTAGCGAACGTACAGCCTCGATCCAGTGGCGACAGACAAGGCACAGACGCGGCAAGGGCAACGTCGAAGGTGTTTGCTGTTGGCCCGCCCTTTCACGACACCGAGGGCGAGTGGCAGGTTGTCGACAATGATCGACATCCGAGAGCCCAGGCTACCAGAATACAGCAGAAGATGACGGCTGGCTAGGCATAGGCCCTCACCCACCAAGAACAGGATGTTAGCCCCGCCAGAGACTTGCACGGCCGCTGAAGGCCGCCATGACGAAGAGTCGGCGATGCCTGCAGGGGCCTCCTCGAACCTCATTGCGAAGCTTCCTGGGTCCTCCTGGCTCTCGTCGGGCGCCTTGATGAGCATCTCGTTGGAATCGCTGAGGATGTCCACGAGCGGGGCCTCGGGGGGGCCCAGGAATGGCTCTATGTAGTCGTCGGGGGTCTCGGCGGCCACCTGCTCGGCGTCAGCAGCTCGATATCCGCCTTTGAGGGCAGCCATCTTTTTTCCGACGCAGATGCGCAGGCAAAAGAGCGCTCACGAGCCGCCTGCGCGCCTGCAACTTTGAAGCGCCAACGCTCTGAAAAACGGGCGCAGCTGGCGACCACCGCGGCGTCCAGCTGCTGACGAGCAACGCCTAACCCACCCGGCCCGGCATCGCTGCACGCGATCGTGCGATGCCAGCTGGCGGCGAGGTCGGCCTGGAGCACGGGCAGCAGGTTGCGGACGACCATCAGCTCGCGCACGGCGGAGACCCACAAGCGGCCCGGGCGGCCAGCGAACACCTCGACGAAGGCGTAGCAGGAGTGCAGGGTCGCGAGAGCCTCGCGCCGCAGCATGCTCATCCACGTGATATGCCCTAGCACGGCGCGCAGCGCATAGCCAGTGACCCACCGCCTGCGCAACAGGCTGCCTGGCGCGGCGCGCAGCCGCCACGCGTTCCTGGCCTTGGCGGCGAGAGCACTCCCAGCGTGCAGCTGCAGGCCCACGAACTGCGCATCGGCTGACGCCTCGACGATCTCGGGCGCGACGAGGCCGGCTGCCTCGAAACGCTCCACCAGGGCGTGCATCAGCGCGTTCGCCGCCGTCGCTGTCGCGCCGACGGTCGCCACATTGTCCACGTACGCGCCAGCAGCGACGGGCCGACATGGCCCAAGCTCTATCCCGACCTGCCCGTCGACGATCACGCTCGTCGGGCCAGCGCCGCTCCGCAGCAGACAAATAGCGGCGACGTCCTGGCACAAGCGCAGCGCCCAAGTGAAGCCCATCGGCAGCGCCGGCACGCGGGCCGCGAGCACCACGCCAAGGCCGTAGGGCAGGTCGTCAAGCCCTGCCTCCATCAAGTCGAGTCGATCGCCGGCAGCGAAATACTCCTCCATCCCGCACGGCATCTTCATGTGGTAGAAGGCGAACTCCAAGTCAGCCGTGGCCACGCAAGCCCCAATGGCGGGAACTTCCACCAGGGCCCAGGCTGCAGCTGTAGGTAGTCTGGTCTTCGGAGGCGCCCTGAAAAAGAACAAAAAAGTGCGATGCGAATGTCAAAAATGGCGCGCTGTGTCCCGTTCTTCTCCGGGACGAAGAACGCGCCAACTGTGCCCTTGGCGTCCGCGGCGGCAGAGAAGCCACCATCCCCTTGCTGTAGAGCTGGCCCGAGAATTCTCCATAGGTCCGAGGGTCGCCGACAGGCCCTTGATCACAGTGCGCCCCCATCGGGCACGCCGCTGCCATTGAGCTCTTCTGCCTCCCTCGGTGGTCTTAGCATTTGGCTCCGCCAATCCCGCGGGCTCGCCGCCTCCGTAGGGCCCGCGAGGCTGGGCAAGTCCACAGGCGGAGCGCTCGAAGACGGCCAAGTGATCTGCGCTCGGCGGTGCGGGAATGACGGGTTGCAGGCGCCATCTCCATAAATGGCGACGCCCTGGAGGAGCTCGACGAGGGCTCCGTCCTCGCACTTTCGCGTCTCAGCATGCTGCTCGGGCCGACGACCAAGCCGATGAAGAGCGGTGTCAAGATTTCGCACGGCAGCCCGCTGGCTCTCGTTAGCGGGGCCCCCAACAACACTGGGACAGCCATAAGGTGAACTCAGTGAAGAGATTGCAGAAGTCAGCCGACGCACGTGATGATCATGACCGGCAATCCGTCGTCGGGAGCGGCGTCCGAGCTGAAGCTGCGGGCCTCGCCTGGCGCCGTCCACGAGAGGCATGGGAAACAGGTCGCGCTGTCGCCTCGCCTCGGGCAGCTCGAGCCGAGCCGCCTGGCCGGTGATGTCCTCTTTGCCAGCAGCCCGCCGGTCACCCTGGCTGCCGAAGTCCTTGCCGATCATCCTTCCGCGGCAGCCGCGCCACCGCGGCCGCCGCCTTTCCCCTTCTTCTTCTTCTTGCCGTGGCCCCGCCCTGAGCCGCCGTGCTCACCGTCAGCTCCAACGGCAAGCGCGCGCTCTTCCCGCGCCTTGCGCCGCTCCTTGCTGATGGCGGCCCCCTTGTGGAGCTGGGCGGCGACGTGGTCGCGGAGCGCCGGGCATGCGCGGATATGCCCGCGCCCGTGGGTCATGCCCACCATGAGGTTTTGATTCGCCGCGAAGTCGTCCGTGCTCTCGAAGCGGTGGCGGCACCGCTCGCCCTCGGTCTGGGTGCATCTCGCCACGAGCCCCATCGACGCGAGGTTCGACCCATGCAACTGGTCGTAGCAAAGCCCCACCTCCAGCAAACCGCACATCATCTCATGATTCGCAACCCCGGGCTCGTCGTCGTCGAGCTGCCTGTCCGCGCCAGCGGCGCGCCCGCCACCCACTCGATGAAGAGCACCGCCCACGCCAGAGTCCGAGGCCCGTCGATCGGCCAGTCGGCGAACGGCACCTCCGCGAGCAGACGAGCAGCCTCCGAGAACGGCCGATGCCGGACCCCGCGGATGTCCAGCTGCACGGCCACGATCCTGAGGTCGCCTCCGGGCGCGCCTGCAGCGCCCATCGGCGTCGCGCCGGCAGGCGCGGCGCCTGCTGGTGGAGCTGGCGCCGCGGCTGGGGGCGCCCCGGCCGCGACCGCCGCTGCTGGCGCCAGAGCTCCGCAGCCCGCCGCGGCCGCAGCTGCCGGCGCCGCGGCCACCAAGACGGTTCCCGCCAGCGCCGCTCCGCCGCCGACTCCGCCGCCTGCGAACGCCGCGGCCGGGCCGGCGAGGCCGCCAGCAGTGCCTGCGCCGTCTGCGCCAGCTGCAGCTCCGACGGCGGCGCCGCCCACGGCCGGCGCGACGACCCGCCCGCCGACGTTCGGCACCGCGACCGGCTGCGCAGGCAGCCCCAGCATCGCGACGGCGTCCTGCGGCCCCTGCGACGGCCGCGGCGACTGGGATCGCTCGGAAGCGGTAAGTCGCACCGGCGCCGATCAGCTGCGCCGCCGCCCGCCGCGCCGAGGTCGCACGCCGCGCAATCGACTATGTCGGCCCCCCCAATGGCGATCTCCACGTACGCGTCGCCGCCCGGGGTCAAAATGCCCGCCCACCACGGGGGGGCGACCGCGAAGCAGAGCACGAGCCTCTCATGCCAAAGCCGCCTTCCGCCGCCGCTGCAGCGCATGAGAATGAAGTCGCTGGGCTGCGCTCCCAGCTGCGCTAGCGGGCGAACTGCCGCCGCCACTGCGAGCCCCCGCGAAGCGTGCGAGCCCGCGCCGCCGCAGCCTGCGCGCAAGCTTCGTCGTCGATCGAGAGGACCGCAGCTCGCGACAGCGAGCCAGACGACGGGCCCGCCGCCGGGCGCGGCCCGAACAGCAGCTGCCCGGCCGCGCCCAGCACCAGGCCGGCGGCGAACACCGCGAAGAGCACCGCCACGCTGAGCGAAGCCTCGGCTCAAAACGCGTCCTGCGTGACAACGGGCGCCGCGCCTCCTCCGCAGGTCACTGCCGGCTTGCGCGCGCAAGCCGGGCAATCCGCGCGCGCCGCCCACGCTATGGCCGCGGTCCCCACGGACTGAAAGGACGCGGCAACGAAGGAACTGATCGACTGCATCGACGACGGCACAGCATGGGCAAGTGCGCGGCCCCATCTCGCGTTTCGCCTACGCAAATTGTTGTTAAAGCCGCGCCTGTGCATATACATATATACATATATACATGTTTGTATATATATATATATACGTCTACACACATATATATATATATATCCCCCACGTATCCTGAACACACTTGACGTACTTGTCGATGATGACCTCGGCATCGGCCATGTTTGTCAATCGCATGTTTGGCGGTGAGAAGGTCATAGCTCGCCTCGAATTCCTCGTCGCAGGCTGCGGGTTTCGGACCGGAGCCTCTCGCGGTCTTCCAGAGCTTCGCTGGGGAGGCTCCTGGTGCACCCTTGGCACTGGTACCCAGTTTGAGGCGCTGCAAACAGTGTCTCGGCGCATCATCGCGCTCGAATCCTGGGGGATCTGAGCGCAGATGCTGCGCCAGGTGGCAATGCAAGACACGCCGCGCGCTCCTTCTCACCGGTGGGCCCAGCAAGTCCCTGATACGTAAGTCCCTTCAGGAGAGCCGTGTTGGTCAAGGGAAAGAATGATCCACTGCTTCCTGCGCGCTGCCGCGCTTGCGAGCAAACGCTGACTCGGCCGCCGCGCCGCCCCTGAGGGCGCTTCCACATCGAAGGCTTCGAGGTCCATGAAACCCCGAAACAACCCAGCGCAATCTCATGGCACGTTCCAACTCCCCCCTTTCGTTCTTGACGACCTTCCATTTAGATGCGCGCATTCCATTTGGATACATCTTTTATCTTGAGACACCTGCTGCCAAACCAGGTTTGGAATTCATTCAGTATATAGGGCCTTCGATACTTTGACTGGATTCTCTGGGATATCTGCC